TCTTAGTTTAGCATATTTCTTAGTTCATATCTTAGATCTTATTACTGGTTTTGTTACAGTTTATACTTTTGTTGGATGTAACCAGGACCCTGTGTACACAATTTCGTTCCACCACATGTACCACGTGTGGTGCGAATGACAATAAAGAAATCTTGACCTTGGTCTTACAAGTGTCCGTCAGCAGCTGAAAATATAGAAGAAGGATGGGATCAGACTCAGCAATTAGCTTGCATCAACTTACCTAGACAACTATTGGGTTTCCAGTGGCTGTCAGGGTTTGTGGATAGGTTTAGATCCATTTCAGCTAATGGCCAAGTTTTGCCACATTTGGACGAGCACTCACTCCTTCTATTGAAATAAACTGGACATTGTTCTTGATAAAATAAATATTTTTTTCAGATAATTGTAAGTTATTTTCTGATATATGTAATATATATTAATAATAATATAATAATATTTTTCCATTAATTATTTTTTTCTCTGTGTTATTAATCAGCTCAGCACATAATCAAACTCTAATAATAGCAACAGGATCAAGATAAAACAAGGCCAGTGTCAAACAGCAGGGTCAAATTAGCTTCATTGTGCTTCTGCCGTACAAAGTTGCATCACTTTTCTGTGACATCTTGAATTTGGACAAACTTTTTAAACAACTATTTAAGATAGTCAATGACCGATTGTGCAATCTGTACAATGAGCTAAAGTAACGTAACTTTTTTCTTTCTAATTTGCGTAAACAATTACTGATACACCTAATGATCTTGCCTGGCAAGCAGGATTTGGACCACAATAGAATCAAACTTTCTTAACTACTCAAACACTTAAAAAACATGTTTGCAAATTCAAATTTAAACATCCATAAAACCTATGGCTCCACGAACAATAATTACTTTTAACAAGTGGCTCCTTTAAAGCAGACACTCTTCATTAAAAATAGAAAGGGAAACAAAAGGCAAAAATAATAAGACGTGTCACAGATTCAGGAGGAAATGGTTCATATTTTAGGTGAATTGAGTTGTAGGTACCCAGTCTGTAAATATCTCTTTGACCTCATATGCTTATCTTTCATCACCTATCTGCACTTCTCTTGCATATTTGCCCGCAGGCTAGCCTTGAGACCTTCACTGGAAAAGCTGCTCATTTAATCTTGTGCTGCAGTCCTCGGCCTGCTCTAACGTAAAGTAGCACGTACATGGATCGTGGTTCAAATCCATTCAGACTAAAAACCTGACTTTTGCACTCCAACACGGTTCAAGGAAAAAAATAAACACAGAAAGCTCTTGTAAACAGTGACTGATTCAGGGTCATACAGGTTGGATAAGTAACAACCTTGAAGCTGTGCTCAGTCTAAAATCAGTATACACTCAAAGTCAGTAATGCTCCATTTATAAAAGTGTGTTTGTGTTCGTGCATTAAAGCAAAATTAATTCTTGAATTAGTTATTTTTTTTTCATACAGTGTGTGAATATTTAAAATAAATTGTCGTACTTACCAGTTCACATTCAAAACAATGTTATGGTCATAAGGAAATCCGAGTGTTAACAATGCAAGTGAGGTCAAAACTAAAACAACTTTTTTCTTTTTACAGATTTTACCTATAGTTCAAAGGAAGCCAACCTTTTTTAGTGTTTTACTTGAGGATTTGCTACTTTCTCTGCCACAGCTGTAAGTTTTGTAACAACCCCATTACCGCTCCTCCTCCCTGACC